AAAAAATTTCCTGTGAAAATTACAAGATTTCCTGTGCCATCTATGAACGGCGTTTGTAGTATCCACAAACGGCTGAGTTTGGGAAATAAACCAGAATGAGTCTTGTCACAAACTTCAGTTTATGATTCAACAGCTTAAACAGTCCCAGGCGGAAAAGTCGGACGAACGTCGGAGTTTACAACCGGCTGGGATCCGCGCCCGTACAGACCGCAAGTACCGACGGTCTGTACCGATTCGGATCTGAAAAAGCAACCGGCGCGGTACAGATTATGCTCCGACTGTCGGAACCGTCTTCCCACTATTGTCAGTACTGGCTCGGTACTGGATTTCTTCCGCCGGCGGATCTTATTCTTCTGCGGCGTCGGAAGAATGACGGATATGTTGAGTCTGTACTGGCTCGGTACTGGGGAGGATCCGACTGCGGATCTCGTCATTTATTGTCACATTATAAATTAAATAATTATTACAAGTAATTGCATTATTTTAGAAAATAATTGAAGGGCTACAGAAAATAAGGGGACGAACGCGTGGTTGAAAGGGATAATATCAGTCAGGTAGCAGCGAGCGGCTCAAGGCTTGTCACTGCTACCCGACTGGTAGTATCCCTTCCAAGCCTCGCGTTCGTCCCCTTATTTTATGTAGCCCTTCAATTATTAATAATAAATGAATCTAATCAATATATTAAGTAATTATTTATTGAGACTTTTTTAAAAATTAAATAATTAAAAAAATTCGTTATTAATTAATATTATATATTATTAATTAACATTAATATTATTGAGAATTAATAATAAATTATTAATATTAATAATAATATTTATTAATAATATCTCCATAATAATTGAATAATTGTTTCTCAATATAATAATATTGAAGGTAATGATATTAATAATTTTAATTAATATCTTAATAATAATAAATTTATTGTTATTGATATATTATTAATTAATATTAATAATTTATTATTAATTCTCAATAATATTAATGTTAATTAATAATATCTTAATAATAATAAATTTATTATTATTGAGATGTTAATTAAAATTATTAATATTATTACGTTCAATATTATTATATTGAAAAACAATTATTCAATATAATATGTATTATATAATAATAAAAATATAACAAGTTTCTTTTTTAACGAAATATTGAAATAGTCCTAAATATACATTCAATAAAGTATTGAAAATATAGCGGTATCATTGACGCGTAGTAATTCTGCAAGTTTTATTTGAGCTAGTGACACTTGAGAGTATTTAAGATTTGAGAGTCCCATGCGAGCGTAGCATAGTGGTTAGCGTGCGAGATTTCGGTGCGTAAATATTCGGTTAGGCGTAGGTTCCGTACCCCCAAGCGTTAGGATTTTTCAAATGTCTATGTAATAAAAAATTGCGTTTAAGTGTATAAAAAAATAAAAAAAATGTGTAAAGTGAACTGTCAATGAATTGTCATTAGTATTTATCTTTTGCAATTAATTATTATTTTTTTATTGATATTTGTTGAAATTATCATTTGGATCCGATCCGGTTGTCAGTCGGTAGAATGCCAGCGCTCGGCTGGCTATTAAATGAAAAATCCGCGGTCGGTAGAGTGCCAGATCCCAGCCGGTTGAATTATACACGGAACGGCTTCTCCCGGCCGGTCAGCGGGCGGTAGAATGCCAGTTCCGAGCCGGTTGCCAGCGCGCTCCTGGCCTAGTCACTATTCGGTAGAATGCCCGTTCACATTCGGTTGGCAGGCGGTTCCGAGCCAGTACAGTTACACCGGCGTCAGTACGGGCTAGGATCCGCGCCGGTTGGAAATTTCCGCCTGGGGTCACGCAGCAGACGACAAGCAGACGTTCACTTGAATTTTCTTGCGCATGCGTGGATTTCTTGGTGTTATAACAGATTGGTTTGTGGTACACACCCCAGTAAACGAAAACTAATTGAAATGAATTAAAAAGAATTCACAAAGAGCTTTCGTGAATCCCGCTTTGTGACAAATACGAATTGGAGCCATGATGCAATTTTCCTGAATTCGTGAAACTGTATTGAACTTCCGAACCTTCTATCCGTACCAATTCACTGGACAAGTTTTGAGCCTTTAATTTTTTTCAATTCGTTAGCACGAATTCAATGCATTCCTTGGCCATTTCTTTCGAATGCGAATTCGTTTGGACAAATTGGTACATATTGAATTAAATTCAATTGAATATACAAAGAGCTTGAGTGAATCCCGCTTTGTGACAAATACGAATTGGAGCCTACCAAAAATGTTAATTCGTTTCAATTCATTTGAATTAGTTTTTTTTTACTGGGACAAACCAGCTTGTTGGAAACACAAAACTCGCCTGCATAAAGCACAACTTAACCTATTTGTATATTTTACGAAAAAGTTTGTGTTTTCTATAAGAAATTTTTTTCCGTGTAATAATGTCAATTATAATAATATTAATCAATCGTCAAAAGATAAAGGGAACGACTAAAACAATCCGACATTTTAGAATTTTAAAAACTGACTTCAAATTCGTAATCAGTGACCCCAAAAACCCCGAGAAACAATTTTCAAGTTATTTTGAAAATTTTTGAAAAATTCGTCCGCCATATTAGATCCACAATTTTAAATTTTTAAAAACTGACATTGTATCCCGTAATCAGCGACCCATAAAACCCCCGAGTTTTATGGACGACTGATTTTTAAAAATTCGTCTGCCATACTGGAAGCGCCATTTTGTAATTTTAAAAACTGACACCGGATTCATAATCAGCGACCCCAAAAACCCTCAAGTAACGATACTCAAGTGAATTTGAAGAATTTTCAAAAATTCGTCCGCCATTTTGAATTTTTAAAAACAGACAACGGATTAGTATTCATCAACCCCAAATACCTCCGAGTAACAATTTTCAAGTAAATCCGAAGAATTTTTAAAAATTCGTCCGCCATATTGGATCTGCCATTTTGAATTTTTGTTTTATTTTGACATTACATGTTTTTTCTTCATTTAGAGACATGAAGTTGTTAGTAGTACCCACTTACAAGCTATTTGTCTGTTTTTTTACTTTAAGTAACCATTTAAATTTGGAAGTTGTGTTTTTCATTCATATTGCCACGATATTGGCAATAAAGAATCCTGAACATGAAAACTTACTTTAGTACTTTGAAAATTTTTTCAGTCAAATAAAGTATATTTGGACAGTTTTATTTAATAGCACTTAAGCATTTATGGATTATTTGTCATATTCCCTTCTCATAGAAGCATTGTATTATCAAAAATTTTCGAACTCAATTTTTCAATTTTTTTTCACAATTTTCGAATTCATTTTTCTTTACGCTTTCTGACCTCAGGAACTCAAAAATTACATTTTTTAAAAATGTCATTCCATGGGTGTGTGAGTATATGTAAACATTACATTTTCATAAATAACTCGAGTTCCATAAAAGCTATAGAGGGATGAATTTTTTTAAATTGTAGATCTCATTGGGAGTCACAAAATCAGTAAACTTTGAACCAGATTCATAAAGTTTCATTAGGTTTATTTTTGCATGATTTCATGTATCGACAGTTCAACTGTCCTTCTACAGAAACCTGCTTTTTAAAAAATATTTTCGAAATTAATTAATAATTTCTTAATTATCAAAGAGATTAGAGCAGTCTTATTTTATTGAACATTTTTCGGCCACGTTAGCAAAAGTTGTAAACAATTTAAAAAATTGAAATTTTGAAAAAAGTTACTTTTTGGTATTAAATTCACATTTAAGTTTAAATATTTTCTACTCACAGTACAGACGCTTCAAAAACGCACCACCGGACGTGGTGCTTTTTTAAAAAAATTAATACTTCGCTAAAATGTAGGACCTTTAATTGTGACAAAGGTCAATGCGCTTCTGAAATGTTTTCAAGAAAAACGCGTTTAAAATTCTCCATATAATGGAAACTATCTCTAGGTAATTATTAGTTCACTTTTTCCACATTTAATTCTTGGAACCTGATTTTCTTGCAGATTTTTACTTTTCACAATATACTAGGTTATAAACAATTAAAACAATTAAAAATGATTATTTTTTCTTATATTTTGTAATTTTATTAATTTATCATTTTTATGGTTAGTCCCACCATGCTGGGAAAGGTTACTTCCCCTCACGGGATGCAATCGATGATCGGTCGCTAGAGCGACCCTCGTAGAGAGAGGGCGCCGCACCCTCAATCCTTCATTTAGCAGTCTACCTTAATGACTTTTTTACAAAAAATATAAATTTTTTAAATAGTAACATTTTTCAGTTTTTTTCATTACGATTTCAGGAATATATTATTGTTTTTACTTAAAAATGTTAAAATTTTTAAAATTTATAATTTAATCGTTTTCTGATACAATTCTTAAAATAAGATTTTGTAAAATATTAAAATTTATATCCTACTTTTTTAAGTTAAAAGAAATTCAAATTAAAAAATAGAAAGAAATTGACTCTGTTCTCAGAATCTCACAATCACACATTTAAAAAAATGTTCATTTGATAAAAGAGACTGTTATATTATTATTATATTTGATAATAGTAATGGGTTAAGTGAATTAAATAAATTCTTTTTTTAGTGCATTTAAATATCTAATAAACTTTTTTTCAAATATTTTAGGCAACTTTAAAAACGGCTAGTTTCGACAAAACCATACAAAGTGATATTGGCTATAGTAAACAATGCGACTTTTACTGCTAAATGCAGTTGATAGTAACATAATCTAAAATAGCTATTTGAACATGTGATTTTAAAATTTTTTATTTATTTTTGTTATTTAAACATAAATATAAATAAGTTTGTTCATGTAATGAGTGTTTTATGTTCTCTTAAAAAAGGGTTTATTCTGCATCTTTAAAATTAGCTAAATTTAAACTCTCAAAAACTATTTAAAAAACCTCGAAAAAATATTTTTTTTGTCATATTCGTGTAACATTAACACTAAAATTTGTTAATATTTTCTTAAATGTGACTGAAATGAAAACACGTAGTAATACCCTATGAGTTCAGTTTTTTTATGTATTGCGTTAAAAATTTAAGTTTTTTTTCTATTACAACTTCGCAATTGACTTTATGTTTAACATTTCATGCAAGTGATCTACGAATTTCTATATTCCATTATAAGGCAGTAAATTATTATTTAAAATCATATTTTATGCGATATTTAATATCTTTTTTTTAGCAGTTACCACCTTCTTATAATCTTTAAAATTATATTTCACAATAAATATCAAAAATTTTTATAAAATTAATTTCATTTCGTGACCTTAAGACTGATAAAAGTATATGACTTTTTAAAATTAGACGTTGACGACTTTAATCGAAATATAATGAATTGATCCATTGTTTTCTACAGTATTTTAAGCAAATTCATAATTTCTTTAAATTTTTAAACTGCAAGAAAACATGTCAAGTGAATATGGTCTGCATTTCCCATGTCGTGGCAATTATATATTTAAAATGTGGATTTCATTGTTAGTTTAAAATCACATAATTTTTCTGTCTGCTCTTCAGTTTAAAAAAGTACTCAGCAGAGCCGTTTTTTGGAAATAAGCAAACTTCCAATGCGACTTCGACACCAAACCATATTGGAAAATATTTCCTAATACTTTTTGCTCGTCCCGAATACTTTTCTCTTATTGTGATTTAATAGAGATGTCATGAGTACAAATTAATGGCGAAAAATCTTCTAATGCGGTTTGTTGTCGAAATCGCATTGAAAATTTGCTTAGTTCCAATAAAAAATGCCTCTGTTGAATACTTTCTCTCTCACTGGGTCTGAAAAGTATTTTAAACTTATTCTTAAAAATCATCTTATTGGAATGTTTGTGATATGCTTGTCTTTAAATGCAAAATTGCAAAATATCACATTTTGGATGAATCTACTGGACTTAGTAGCTTTGTCCAATAAGGGAGCGTTCTCAAATTAAGTAAACTTTTTTTAGATACTTTTTAAACCCCTTTCCCTTCCCCTCGTAAAATTTTCTCAAATCGCTGAGAAACATACAAAATCTATTAATATAAACGGTGTAAAGAATTTAAAAAAGAAAATATTAATAAAAATGAGTTTTAAAAGTACAAAATACAAATACAAAAATCCTAGTAATGTTACATAATTTAAGAACGCTCCCTAATCATTTCACGTTAAAAAATATGAAAAAACAATTGTAAAAGTTCGCAAAGTACCACGACATTGGCAAAATATTTTGTACAATGTATTCTCGGGTCGAACTCCTTTTCTACAGTGACACTAGAGTAAAAAATTGGCGTTTAAAATCAGTGCTAACGTATCGCAATGATAAATGTACATTATGTATGGCTCTATATGTTGAACCAATTGAGTGTTATATAAAAGGAAAATGATAATTTTCAAGCGTAGTATGTAACGACGTCTTAATGTTATACAAATCGGCAGTGAAGTACAAAGGTACTCGTTGACAGTAATTATCGCATAATTATTGTTAAAAGATTTTTTTTCCTATAAAAGGTATGTCAAGAATCATTAATCATTCACAGGTACCAAAAGTTAATTGTTCAAGTTAATCTGTACCTTCTTTACTTTTTCTTTTAAAAAAACTAAGTTTCTTCATTGTTTTTCCTGAAAACTTAACAAGATTGTCAATATAAATTGTGCGTTTTACATGATTTTTAAGGTTACAGACGAAGAACTTGGTGCGCGATTACAGAGTAATAATATATTAATTTAAAAAAGCTCAGTTGATCCAACATCGAGTTTCTTTTACCGATTGTATAATAGGTAATAAAGAAACGAGTCCACTTTAAATATTAAGCTAAATTAGCGTACTTACGCACAAGAGGTTGATATACATGGGTATAACTGTATAACACTGTACTCTGTAAAAACCTACATGTGCTTGACGATCAAATTGCTTCGATTGAGCTTCCTAATATAACTTATGTAGTTTTCTTCTTTCCTTTTCTTCTAAATTTTTCGCTTCTTGATGGTCTGCTTCTTTTTACCTTCTACTCAACTCAGTCCTTACGGCTACCATGGAATAAATTTATATTAGAACAAATTTTTAAATTAAGCATAATTGAGGCTCCGGATCTTAAAAGGGCACTTTCAGCATTTATTTTAAATGGTAAAAGTGCCCTTTTAAGATCCGGAGCCTCAATTATAAACATACTCTTAATACTATTGAACAAATTTAAGTAATTTCTTTTTCATTTTAAAATTTTATTACACTAGAACAAGAAGTGACTAAAGTATAAATATACAAAAAATGGTAATTGTTTACATAAACGGTTATTGTATTATTTATTACTTTCATTGAGAATTTTTTTTTCATTTTTAATATGAAAAACGAAAAGAAATGCAAACGAAAGAATGCGTTAGAGAATGACAGGCATATTATTTATCCTTTTCTAACTCATTCTTCTGATTACGTTTAGGATAGTGATTTCGGTTATGTTTCTATGCTGCTTTAGGGTACAGTCCATTTGAGCAGAAAGAGTAAAACCAAAAGAAGAAAATCATGAGTGCAAGAGAGATAGGCGATCGGTGCTTCTATCACTCTCATGATTTTCTAATTTCAGTTTTACATTTTCTGCTGAGATGGGGCTCCACTTAAAAGGCCTAAGAACAACTGCTTCGCGAACGCAAACCATGAGTTAAAACCCTGGATACAAAACCGGACAGATTTCGGACTAGTCCGAAATTTGTCCGAAACAGTACGGTATATTGTGGAGTTTTTTCACACTGAATTAAGTTTGAAACAGGGACCGTCTCGAAAGTTTAATTTCGTTTCAGTGTTTGAGTTGACACGAAACTAAATTAACAAAGTGACTTTAGTTTCAAGTCGACACAAAACTAAATTAACAAACTGAGTTTAGTTTCTTGTCGAACCGAAACTAAATTAACAAATTAGATTTAGTTTCGTGTCGACTCAAAACAAAAGATTGAAAAACATAATTATTTAGTGTCAATCACAGAAAAAAAATTGTTTCCCCTGACTTACGTAACTAGAGCAATGTAAGTAATTAATGTAAGTTACGTAACCAGAGTAAATAACGTAACTACATTAACTTACGTAACCAGAGTAAATTACGTAACTAGAATAACTTACGTAAATGATCAAATATACGTAAGTTACGTAAGTAGAATAACTTTCACAATTTATCACATTTACGTAAGTTACGTAACTAGAAAAACTTACACAATTAAATGAACTTATGTAAATTACGTAGCTTACGCAATTAATCAAACTCACGCAATTAAATAAACTTACGTAAATGATCAAAATTACGTAAGTTACGTAATTTACCTAACCAGAGTAAATTAAGTAACCAGAGTAAATAACGTAACTACAGGATCTTACGGAACCAGAGTAAATTAAGTAACTACAGTAACTTACGTAAATGATCAAACTTACGTAACTAGAATAACTTACGCAATTAATCAAACATACGTAAGTTACGTAACTAGAATAAATTACGCAATTAAATAAACTTACGTAACTTACGTACATGTGATTATTTACGTAAATGTGGTTATTTACGTAAATGTGATTATTTACGTAATTTAAGTAAATTTGATTATTTATGTAAGTTAGGGGCCGTTCATAAATTACGTAACACATTTAGGGGGAGGGGGGGGGTTCGAGAAAATGTTATCATATGTTACATGGGAGGGGGGCAATCATCATTGTTACGTAATATTTATAAGGAACTTAATCTCTTTATAATCGATAAATTTTTGAAAAGCTGTCCCTTGCCGCTACTTCAATATAAGTAAAAATCGAATCATTTCGCGAATCGATTCTTGGAAATAATATAAAATTACTATTAAAAAATCAATGTTATATTTTTGTTGTTAAGTATGATTAATAAAATTATTCCTCTAAATGTTTTTTATATTTAACTTAATTTTGTATTGCTATTGTACGATATAAATACACTCGACTCTCGGATCTTTTGCACTTACGGGACCAAATCCTCTCATACCAAAACAAATGTCATGGTAACGCAAAACAAAACAATATGTATAACCAAGTATGTAAATTAATGACAGTATTTATGTTTTAGTTTTAATATTTACATTTCTAATAATTAAGATTTTATTTAATATGATTCTAATCAAATAATGAAGGAGCTGTTCTAATTTACTTTAGATAACCAAAGTTATCGCGAAATAAATGTTTTGACAATTTGATAGTCATTTATTTATATAATATAAAAGATAAAAGGTGCGAAAGAAAAATTGCAAAAGAAGCGAGCGTGTAAAAGAACTGAATGCAAAAGATCCGACAGTCGAGTGTACTAAAAATAACAGTAATAAACAAATTTGTTTCGAAAAACGTTAGTAAAAAAAATATTTTTAAAAATTACGTAACAATGATAAAGGGGGGTGGGGTAAAACGATTTTGTTATAACCTGTTACACAGGGGGGGGGGGTTCAAAATTTCACTAAAAACGTGTTACGTAATTTATGGACGGCCCCTTATTGTACGTACGTAACTTAAGTAAGTTATAATAATTGCGTAAGTTACGTAAGTTTATTTAATTGCGTAAGTTATTCTAATTACGTAACTTACGTAAATGTTATTAATTGTGCTAGTTATTCTACTTACGTAACTTACGTAAGTTTGATCTTGCGCAATTGAAGTAAATTTTAGTGTTTATGTAAGTTATTGTACGTACGTAACTTACGTAAGTTTATTTAATTGCGCAAGTTATTCTAGTTACGTAACCTACGTAAATGCGAGTAATTGCGTAAGTTATTCTACTTACGTAACTTACGTAAGTTTGATCATTTACGTAAGTTATTCTAGTTACGTAATTTACGTTTGATAGCTGGTTGGAGGAATTTTAACTTAACGGACTTTGACTTGAATTCTTCAAATACCAAATGTTTCTCAATGTTTGACGTGAAAGTTGACTGAACATTGAACAACATTGAGTATTTAAAGGATTACATAGTTTCATTAGTTTCGCGTAGCATTCCATAAATAGTATATTCAGTATTTCTTATCTTATTTCTAGTTTCGAGCCTAAAATAGGTTAGAAACAATTTTGTCCGGTTGACAGTAATGAATATTCGCCGCTTTTGTAAACAATTATCAAAAAAACTTTCTTAAATATTCTATAGAGTATTATTGATCATCCAAGGAAGCTTCTAGGATGATATCGTGCTATGGGAAGTGTCTATAATGGGGTGTAAACGACTGTGATGGCGACGATTATTCTCTAACTTTGACAGAAGTTAAATATTTTATATATTTTGTTTCTTTGGATTTTTACGATAGTGTCTGTCTGTCCGCCTGTCTGCAGACACAAAATGTTGTTTTCACGATAACTCTTGAGAAACTTAATGAATCGTTTTCAAATTTGGCAAAGGTAAAGTTGGTGTAAAAATGAAGGTTAAATTCGTTAGCAAGCCATTTTCGTTAAAAACTACAAAAACTACAGAATTTTCAAAGTTTTTAAATTTCAATTTTTTCGAAAATCAAAATTTTAAACAGAGAAGAAGATGAAGAGGGGACCCTGTATGGACCTGGAGTAGCCGATTAGACGTAAGTTGTCAAAAACTAACTTTGAATACGAGTTTTTACAATATAAAAATTCTAAATGATTAAAGAATCAACTGATTTTAATGTTCAATTTAGGCAATTTTTGAAACTACGAATTAGAGAATAATCAGTGCCACCTGTCGACTTTAATCAAATATCCTAATGGAGCGTTCAGACCTCTGCAGCCTGCCTCCCTGCAGGTTGCCATAGTAACGTACAAGAGTCAGTGAATTCAAATTTAATGCACTTTCTCTCTTACTTTTGTTGCTCCTGCCAGCGCAGGCAGGCAGCCTGCAGAGGTATGAATGATCCTTTACACTAAATTTAATTTAAAACTAAGAGAGAACCTAGAAAATAGTAAAATTTCGCATTAGATGCTAGTGTTGCAAAAAGATTGTGCTTTAAATAATAATTTAAAAAATTGAAAAAGTTTGCCATCAATAAAGAAAACGACTTAGAAAGAAAATTGATTTTACCCTCAACAATTTCTTGTTTAATCTCCTGTTTTATCTTTTGAAACTCCTTTCGGACTTCCTTTATGAGTTCAACTTTGAAAGCTTCCATTTCCTGGGACATGAATGAAGTGCCGTCATTAACTCCATTTATTTTAAGAAGCGTATCTTCTGAAGCTGAACCAAACCTCTTGCGAGTTGCTTTTGGTGATTCTGCACCGTTAGAAAATTTGTTATTTGAATTGCTTTTGTCCCACGATTTTTTGTCAGGAGAACTTTCAGGCTCCTATAAAAGACTTTATTATTAAACAACAATTTATTTAAATACTAATTTTATAAGCAAAGAGTTAAATAAAAGAAAAATTTGATATATTTTAATTTTAAAAAGCAAAAATTTTAAATAACACAAATATAAACAAAATGTCTAAAAATTGAAAGTATCAAACTTCAAATTGGCATACATTGAAAGCTTATTTATGCTTTAAAAATAGAATTATCAAATATTAAAACTGCAATTAAATCATTACCGGAGCTGCTTCTGGTTGTTTTTTTTCGACAGCAGCTCGCCTTCGTGCTAAAGTTTTAGCCATTTCGTCCATCATAGAAGCCATTCCAACACCGCCGCTACTTCCACTGCTTCCTCTGCCCAAGGTACCATAGTTTCCACTTCCGCTACTACTTGTACTCGATCCGCTGTTTTCCACTGGTTGAGATTGCTGTTCAGAAGATATAAATAGGAATTAAATTCACAACCCCAACCATTAGCGAAGTATATTAAAATCTATGTATTTTATTAAGAATTACAATTCTGAACCTGTATTCAATGTTTTGAAAAAACCAGTTACGTTAAACTCATTTTCCTCATAGTTGCATAAAAAAGAGTTGTAAAATATGAATTGTATAAATCGCAATAAATTCTGTTACATTTGTGGCTTATTTGTAGATAAAAAACATAAATTAAATTTAAAAAATAAAACAGAAGGACATAACAAAATTTTTGTTGTAATTGAACCGTTCTTATTTAATTGTTTAATTTTTAATTTAATTTAATTTTTTTGTTTTTTATTGCATTAAAATTGTCGGTAGGTATAACAATTATTAGTCACATAAATATATGAACAAAATCGATTAAAAAGTCTCAGGGTTATGAATTTTTGAAAAAAATTACTTTAAACTTTAATGCCCTGTGAAAGCCAAAACTTTAAAACGTTTTTTTCCCTCATTCTTCTCTTACACAACACTACAATTACACCAAGTTTCAGAAAAATTGACAGACCCATTGCCAACATTGATTTTTTTGAGAAAATATGACCCAAATGAAAAACAAAAGTAGGCAGGGGAAAAGATAAAAAATGTAACTCAATAATATTTATAATAAATAATTTTATTACTTACCAAAGTGCCAATTTTAATTGCTTATTTCTTTTAATAAATTTTTTAAAAATATTTTTTAAATTTATCTCTTATTTTCTTGCAGAAAATAAAAAATTACATTACTTGGGGAATATGTAAATAAATAATACTAAACACAGGAGGTACAACTCAGGCAGTGGGGTATGTGATGATTTGGTTTTCTGAAATAAGGTGATAAGTTACGAGTCGCAGTAGCCTTCTGCGCATATTACATACAAATAGTAATGGAAATGCAAGCACTGCGAAAAATTCGTGTTGGTCCCTACTTTTTAAGATAATGAAGTTTAACATATTTTCATCATGTTAATAAATATAATTTTTGAAGGACGAAGTTAGATCTCCTTGGTTAATCACTTTTAACCAATTCATTATCTCGAAAAATATCTTAGGGACAAACGCGAATTTTTTGCAGTGTGTGATTATTTCAAAATTCCCAAGTTTTGTAATTTATCATTTTTTGTAAAAATTTGTATCTCTAAGTATAAATCCAGAGAAATGATAAACAAGAAAACTCACCTGTTTCTTTTTAAGCCGTGCCGCTTGAAGTGCTGCTGCGAGTGAATTGACTTCAGCCACCGAGTTGGCCTCGATTGAGTTGTTGGACTGTTCGGGAACGGGCGGCGGTGGAGGCGGTGGCGGTGCAGTGACTGCAGCAGCAACTGGTCCCATCGGTGGCGGCGGTGGTCCAGCACTACTGCCAACGGGAGCATAACTGTTGTTAACAAGACTACCAGAAAACTGGTTGATAATGTTCGACGGGGTGCCGTACGGGTTCGAGCTGCTTCCAGACTGAACTGTCGCATACTGATTGGGCACTGTTGCGTATTGATTAATCGAATTATTACTGCCGTATTGGCTGCCGCCGTACTGAGAGCATTGACTGCTCGCGTACTGGCTGCCTTGACTAGGTTGATTACCGTAAACTTGAGCAGTATTACTACCGTATAAGCTACTTTGACTACACGAATACTGGCCCATTTGATTTTGATTGCCGCCAACGACATATTGATTGGTCTGCGCGGCTGTCACGCCGTACTGGTTCCCCTGATTGGTAACATAGACTATTTGGGACTGCGATTGATTGGGGTGGCTCATTTGGGATGGCGATTGTGCGTACTGGTTCATTGTTGGGGTTGTGCCCGTCGATATCGGAACGCTGTTATTATTGTTGCTATAAGCGATCATCGTTCCAGCTGGTGGGCAGGGTGGAGCTGGAGGAGCTGCTGGAGGCTGTGGTGGAGGTGCGGGTGGCATTTGCTGTATCGCAGGACCTACTGCTGGCTGCAATTGTTGAGGCTGTGGTGGAGGCGCTGGAGCTGGTGGAGCTGATGACGTTCTGTGATGTCCTGGCTGTTGCTGTTGACCTGTCGGAGGGCAACTTGGTGATATTGCGTTAGGTCCATTTGTTGATACTGTAACAAAAATAATATTGCAATAATATTTACGACAACGACGATAAATATAAACTAATACTTTTCTCGATTGTAGGTCAAAAGTTCCGAACCAAATGTTCCAATCGGAAAGTTCCAAAATAAAAATTCTGTTGAATATTTTATGCGTTTAAAATCTATAACATTATTTTGCGGTGTATTTCTATTTAAAATCATGCCATCGAAAAAAAAGAGGGTTGAAACTTCCGAAAATTCTCCGCTTATGACAAAAACACGACGTAAGACAAGAAATTTAATCTCTAGAATTTTTTAAAGATATTGATCATATCGATGGGGCCTTTATTCTTTACGCTGAGGATTCTAGTAAATCTGAGAATGAATGTAGTTGGAATGCAATTAGTGAGAATGAAATGGATGATCCTGATGTTTGTGAAAATGGTATACCCTTTCCTACTGAGTCTTATTTTCAAAAGTACGAGCATTTTATCCAATTACACTTTTGTTTCTGATAAAGATAGAAAAGAGATACTAGATATCACACCTGTAAAAAGTTTTGAATATTTTTTTCTACAGAATTTAAAAACCATATAATTGAATTTACTATATTGAATGGACTAGACGTAACTTCAGAAGAATCTGATTATTTCATAGGTATAATAATTTTTACATCATCAATCGATGAGTTGATGGTAAAATATTATGGAAGAAGTATTATAAAACAGTTCATCAAAACAAAACCCATCAGATTCGGCATTAAAATATGGGGTTTTTGCAACACTTCAAGATTCTTATATGAAAAAAAAATATATATATATATATATATTTTTTTCATAATAAATAATAAGAGTGAAGTTTTGTCGAATTGTGCTTTAGGTAGACGTGTTGTACTTCAAAAATGCTGTAGCAACTCTTGTTCAACCTTTCTCCAAAAAGCTGTTCAAACGTCAAGTTTATTTCGACTACCAAGTAAGACAAAAACAGTGGATTAAATTTTATCACTGTTAAAAATTCGAAACTTGCGTCAATTCTATTAACAGGAGCAGGAGCTAGCTAAAGATGATTCTAAAAACCAAGTTTGCACATTGCTTTTCGCCTTGTGGTAAATAGTATGTTCTCTGTGTTATATTCGTAATTAGCGACCCCGAAAACCCATGACTACCCATTTTCAAGGAAATCTAGTCAATTTTTAAGTTTTCGTCCACTATATTGGATCCAAGAATGAAGTGGTCCGTAATTTATTACCACTTCCTAACAAGAGCGGAGAAGTGACAAAGAACATGTATCGAGGTTTCATTTTCCTCTCTACACTTGCAGCATTCAGGATCTCCCGCAATCCCCATGTTATGCCTATGATAGCGTAAATCACCATGACCATTCAACAGCCCTGTTAGCTATTACTTAAATTCGAGGACCAAACATTTATCAGAGACACCAATTGAAGGCTCAGGCCCAATAAATTGTTACCTAGCATCTAGTTTGACTTGTTAATCAGCTTTATCATTTCCAATGAATCCACTGTGTCCAGGAACCCAGAGAAGATTAATGTCAAGTCTTAGGACAGCCTTTGCCGCCACTGGTTTAATTATAAGATGCAAGGGTTTTAGCTCCAAAAGAGCACCAAGGGCAGCAGTGTGCGTTGTGCACACCACACCCGTAATGCCTCTCAGTACCATCCCCTTACCCTTTCCAATAGTGTTTTTGGTGTTTTCAATTTGACTCTACCCCACCAAACCACATAAGTATAGATCAGCCTAGGGAGCAGAATCGCTTCCTAGATCCACAATAGTGTATCCGGTTGAAAACCCCAGCTGTCACCTATGGCCTTTCTACCCGAACACGGTGTGCTAGAAGGAAAAATAGGTCTTACAAAGATACGGAGAAAAACGGTTTGTGTAGCATGTTTTGTATGTATTTATAGGTTAAAAATTAGTTTTAAATGAAATACAACCTGTTCGTGAAAAGGTTTTATATATTTGATAAACACTAAAATTCATTTCAATATATAAAAAAGAGAGTTAATTTTTTATAGTAAGTAAATAGTTGACATGCCCACATAACACAGTATTTTTCAGGAAGTTTTCAAAGTGAACTTTGGAAATTTTCTTAGTAAGCTTCCTGTAAACTTGCTGTAAAGCCTAAGGCTGTTTTTGGCGTCCACCCAGTGTTAACACCGAGTTAATCCTGATTGGATGGATCCAACAGAATGTTAATAAATATTATTAATGATTGATGCTAGAATATTTAGAATAGAGTATCATAACTGTTCTATAACAATGTTAGAACACACAGAACACTGTTACAACTTTAGGATGACATATATAATGTTTTGTTAATAACCAGTTACTAACCTGTTTTAAAACGTGTTCTTTTTTTGTTTTAGAACAGTTATATAATTATACTATAACAGTATTATTGGGGTAGAGCTATCCTAAATATTTACTAGCTTTCAGATAAAGCCTTATTTTGAAGTATTTAATAATGAAAAAAAGTTTTTCATTATATTTAAGGTCAATTTTATTTGTAAAAAATAACACTTTAAATTTTAGTACAAGTGAAAAATAACATTAAATCCAGTTGGACAATATAACAGACATCAAGATGAGTTTTGTGTAAAAGCGATATCGATCCAATGAAAGTTTAGTTATTTAGTTTAGTACATTCGGGTAACCGAAATCAAGTTACCTGTTATTAAATTTTCCATTGAAAGTAAATAATAATAATAGAACTTCAACATTTTCAGAAAGTAATAAATAATAAATTCAAATTACCTTGATTTTGTTGTGACATTCGACGCTCTTGTATTATAGCTACGTCCTCTCTTGTCATTGTCCTAAAAAGAGAGTATTTTTATAATTTTACAATGTTTTATTGCTTTCTTCATAAAAAATATTTTTTTCTTCTGGTTAATTATTATAAAAAAATCTTTTAAAAATTCCACTTCATGTCAAAAGTCATAAATATTTTGGTTTCCCTTATGCAAAATCAAATTTTAAAATTGGTCTTTAATATAATGTTATTCACATTTTTAATTATTTACATAACTTCTTTAAAAAATTGTATTTAAATGAAATGTATTCAGATGAAACCTTTTTCAGTTTTACTAATTAATTAACTAATTAAGTAAGAACAGTAACCTAATTTTTAAGTAATTATTTCTTAGATTTAATTAATTACTTCTTTAATTAATTAGTAAAACTAGAATACACCTCGTCTGAAAATTGTTGCTCGCGCATAGTTTTAACAGTGCATTCTGTTCGTATCAATACAAACCAAGAAGACCGACAGATTAGCTCGGTCGGATAAATGCCTGGCTCGGTGGGCGGACCAAGGGTACTTGGTTCGCGCCCATTAGCCTGGGATTTTTCCAGCACGTGAGATAATCTGAGCGGGAGGTTTGACGTCGAGGTATAATGATGTGCACCGTCGATTATTGTCCGGTACACACCATTAGAACTCGACTGTCGATAAACCGGTTGTACTCAGGAGAGGTTTTCTACAGTTTCCCTCTTCTCTGGCGAGAAAACCCATTGACGGGTGGTCCAGGCAAATGCGAGTACTCCTAATCTCAAAAAGTCGTTCTGTAAAAACGCAAAACTAGTTGGTATATAAGAGTGTGTGTTCTGACAGTTGGCCTAGCTTCAAGTCATTTAAGAAAAAAAAAACAAACAAACCAAGAAAAAAAGTTGTTGTAGAAGCATCTTTAAACAAGTTAGGTCTTCAAAAACAAATTTAATTTTAGCCAATGCAACGTATCGTATTTACTACAATTACAAGGATTCAAAATCCATAAATTCTGCTTCTTCGTGGTGAAAGCTTTGGGTGTTTTCGAGGTTCACACTCAGCGCATACACTGAAAAACTGTTGGCAGAACTGTTCACCCAATGCGCTGAAGTGCTGCGTTAAAAAAAAACGCACAGCTCACTTTAGTTTTGGGAGAGTAAAGTCCAACGCACAATAGGTTTGCGAAAGTCGTTCGCGAACGAGACACATGAGATAGACAAGGACACAAATATATCTCTGTCCTTTTCTAACTCATGCTTTGCGTTCGCGAACCTATTGTGCTTAGGCCTTAACTCTCCTTTTTGGTAGAGCTGTCAAACTATTTGTCAAGCAGCCGCTCACTTAACGCCATTGGTAGTCCAGTTTAAAAAAGCAACTCGCCCAATTTTGATTGAGCTGTGAGTTTAAACTTTAAACGTCAAGTAGCGCTGCACAACAGTCAATAGCGGAACTGTTCTATCAACAGTTTTTCAGTGTATGACTGTTTTCGGCACTCACCCAGGGTTAACCCCGAGTTAAATATTATCCAATCATCAAAAACATTCTGTTGGTATATATGTGTGTGTGGGGATCCATTTTTTGTGAACTTAATTAATTGATTAACTGTTTCTTTAAATAATATAGCAGCGGTGACGCCGTACCTATGACGCGCCACTTAAAGCAAATTTTGTTGGCTGAAATAGAAGAAAGATTTCGCAACGTTGAGAATATAGCGATTTACGCCAAAGCCACAATACTGGATCCGCGTTTCGAAACGATACATCTTAAAAGAGCCCTTGCTGTGTCAACCGCTATAAGAAACATTGACAATGAAATAAGATCAAGTAGTCATGACGTGGAGATACTTACTCAACATATTTCAACTTTTTATCTATACAAAAACAAAATTCTGAAGATATTTGGATGCATCACGACAAAATTGTAGATAAAACTTTTTCAAATGTGGAGAAAGCAGGTGGCTACCAGTGGAACTGAGACAATACAAAAGCCAAGCAGTCATTCATAGAACCGAAAATCCTATCTACATCGGTACTGTACGAAAGTTTATTTTCGCTAGCTTCAAACATAGAAACGAAATACAGGAGTAGGATTCATCTTGATAGTTTAGCAAAGTTGACATTTATGGATTCTTTAGGTGAAGAGCAGTGTGGATTTTCTGTGATATTAAAAAAAGAGTAGTGCAAAATTTAGTTTCTTTCCAGGCTGTTGACTTATCAAATATAAATTTGAACTTTAGGAAATGCAAATCTTATTTAAATAAATGTAAAAAAAGAAGCATAGCACTTTCAGTGCATTTAAAAGACTCAATTTGTATAACTTTTATTATTTGTAAACAATATTCCCAATGATTAAAAAAGAAAAATTATTTTTTATTGGTCATAAAAGACTCCGCAAAAAATGTATTGAAATTGTCTTACCGTTAATTTTGTTCATCTTTTCAGAATTAGTAGTTCTAAGTGTCCTAATTAAAGATATAATTCAGTTAGGGACAGTTTCACCAATACCGATTAAAAGTTAATCAATGATTAAATCCTCAATCAACCAATCATAAGCCGTTAACGACCGAATTGTCGTTTTTTGTCGATAACGGTCACTTGAGTAGGCAGAGGGTTAAACTGCCTTTAATAATTGATTAACTTATTTGGCTAACAACACGGCGCGAAAGTGGGGTATTTTTACCCGCTGTTTTTAGCAACATCAACATTTCAGTGATTTTGTTCAAATGAACCATTATTTTTGGTAAGTTTAATGTCCAAAGACATCAATATATACAAAGAGAGAACTCTTAATGTTAAACAAATAAAAATGTAAAATATCAACCCTTAAAAACTACCCCTTGTACAATTGAACCGCCGGATCGTAGAAGGGCATATAGCCCATTTGAATTACATTGGCTATATGCCCTTCTACGATCCGGCGCACAGTGGGGCCAAATGTACTTTTTGTGTCAAATTCAGTCTAGAGGTCACAATTTTCATTCAAATTAAGCAATTTTTTTTTAAATCTTCGTTACTAAATTAACACTATATAAAAAAGAGAATACTATCTTAAACACCGCAAATATTTTTATAAATGAATTAACTTTTCTTTTACTCATGAACTGGCAGATTCACCCTTACAAACAACCCCACTTACAATACAGTCTGTATATCTTACACAAAAATCCTAACCGTACTCGTATGTTAGAATTAACAATATCATTTTTTCAGTGCATTAAAAATATCAAACAGCTCTGTTCAAAAGATCCGTTCAAGGGTATTTCACGTTTTCTTCATGACGAGCATATCCGAAGTACCATAAAATACTTGCAACGTGAGCATAAGTACCTAAAGTTCTTGCACCCGTCTTACTAGTGCAATTGTAATCACGGACAGGTTGTTGTTGCTCCCCTTCATTTTCTTCAAGCGCAAAAAGTATCCATAGCTGATGTCGAGTAGCATTTCGAAATCTATAATAAATGCGCATTCTTATTAAACCAGGTTCATTCATCAAAGCATCCAGTTGTGACTCTTCATTACCATCTCTATGGACTTTATCCTGGATATGAGACGGTGCCAAGTTAACTTGGTATACTCCGAATGTTAAGTGACACAAATACTTCATAGAAAGATGAGGAAAATATGGAAGATCATTTTCGTTTAAATGCATCCATTTTGCAAATCTTTGGAAAAGTTCCTCTTCTCCTTTAACCTTTCTTTTTAATTCATTTGCTGTTTGAGCTCTTAATAACATTTCTTTAGCTGCTTCCATTTCTATTAAACCACGATATCTATTTAGTATCGCGCCAGCAATGCGAAAAAAATGGCCAAAATGAGGAACATGTGTCATTGATATGGGTTTACCAAACACTTGAAAAATAGATTGCAAGTTCCCGTTTCGCAATTCTACTAACCATCTTATTTTTGTGATTAATCGAGATTCGTTAGCTTCCTCAGTAGAGAATTGTCGTTCATTACGTCCTAAAAGCGGTGGCATTTTTGGTACCAAACATATCTGTTCAAGAAAAGGAATCGCATCGCGATACCCTCTGCCAACAATAATTATACCGTCTTCGTCTAGCCATTCTCTGACATCATGTTTTTCACATTTTTGTATTAAAATGTTGTCGTCGTTATTTCGTGCATCCGAAAAGTATAGTCCGTGAATGTCAAAAATGGATCCATTCGTCGACACCAGAAGAATAGGCTTAACAACATGGCAACTCTTGTGAAGACTGAACGATCGCCGTAAAGCTTAAAAATTGTACCTGTTGCGCTGGATCAAATAGATTCTACAAATCTCGAAATTGTTCCTCAGTTATTGGAGAAAATGATTTAAACTGATCGTCGGAAAAATCGTTTTAATCTTCGAATTTTTTTCCGAATTTCTTTTTACAGAATCGATGAGACCATTTAAGAACTTTAACAACGAGGACCTTTAATATAATAAACTCTATAACGAAGATGCTGCAAGAGATCTGCAGGGATAAAAGTGTTCATTTAAATGCTCTGGACAACACCTTATATATATATATATAGATTCTTTACTTTTTTCACTTTAAATGTTAAGGGGTTGTTTTCTTTATAAGGAATAACTTTCAGTCAATTTTCAACAATCTTTCACTGTTTAAAGTGTTCATTACTTTGGTTAATAGGATTTATTTAAAATGTAAAATATAACACGGGTTGCATTTGTATACTGAAAAAAAAGATCTGGTTGAAATTACCAGAGTTAAAAATTTTCTAGTTATTTTAACCAGAAAAAGTAGTTAATAGGACTAGACAGTTCTGGTTAATATATTCTGGTTAAAATATTCTGGTTGAAAGAATTCTGGTAGAAATTCTGATTAAAATGGCTGAAAAAGAATACCGCGCAAAAAGTGGTTGTCTTGTGAACGTCGTGGCGTCTTTTTGTCTCGTGTCTCGGTTTTCCATAAAAATATGGATAGAGAAGTCCAGGATTTATTAGATAAGTGGGGACTAGGAGAATTGAAGAATATTTTCAAAGGTAAGTCATATAAGTTTTTCTTATAAATAAATATATCTTTTGAAAACGTGGACGACGCGTGGT